TTGTACCTTAAGAGTCTATATACTCTATATAAACAACATAACTTACATTACAAGATTTCCAATTATGATTTAATACAATCTACAAATAACAAAGTTGTATAATAATGTACAATCTGTGGCGATAGTTAAAACAAATACTGAATCACAAGTACGTAACAAAAAACAAACAAAATAATAAAAAAAAATAATTAAAGAAAAACAAATATATAAAATAATTAAAAATACAATACATCAGATTCTAATCAGATGAAATAATATACATTCTCAGACATTGGGTCACATGACCAAAAGTAGAATAAAAGTTATTATTGGTTTCTATTTATCTGTTTCAGAGTGGTATAAAGTCTGTAATGATGTGGATACATGGAGGGGGTTTTGTCATGGGTTCTGGAACTGAGATGTACGATGCAACAATACTATCTGCATTGAATGACGTCATCGTGGTTACTATCAACTATCGTTTGGGAGTCTTTGGCTTATTCAGTACAGGTAACAGGATGTCAAAAAAACACACACAGTATTTTTTACAGTTATTAAAAACATAAATTTTGTTTTGTTTGGCTTAATCTAAAAATTGACACCTTAAAGTGCAGTGGTCAATGCTCCATGCATGTGCGATTTAAAAATTGTGCTCATCGATAAACAGTGATTTTTTGACAACCAAATGACTTTACCAGTAGCAAGCATGAGTACAACTTCTTTCAATCTGAATAGAATAGAATGGAATGGAATGGAATGGAATGGAATGGAATGGAATGGAATGGAATGGAATAGACAAAAATTCAAATTTTTTTTGGTCATATTGTGTTCCTTTCTCTGGGGAACAATGTAATGATAATATGTCTAAATCAAAGAATTTATTAATTCACTTATTTGTTTATGCAGGTGATGACGAAGTACCTGGCAATGTTGGTTTTTTAGATCAAGTAGAAGCACTTCGTTGGATTCAACAGAATATTGCAGGTATATTTGTTTCAAAATTAACCTCAGATACTGATACAAATACAATAGAGATTCTATGTACTGGATGTGCTACAGTAGTCTAGAAAATATATAGGATGACATTCTGCATTACGCATGTATTAAGATACTGACAGCCTCCCATAGAAAACGTATGACATTCTGTATTGCGCATGTATT